CCCACACACAGTATACAAATGTATGTACATAGCACATATATCAATATGCGTTGACGAAGCTGATTCGAACACATCCGGGCGTCCTGTCCTGTGCTGTGCTGTCCTGTCCAGCGCAAACAAAATACATACATAATGCAAAAAGCAAAAGAAGCAACACAGAAAACGGAAAAATTAAAAATAAAAACATAAAAACATACAAAAACGACTTGCCAACGACAAAAATTGTCAACAGGAAATACAAAAATTGTGAAATGGCTGCTGCAAAAAAGCTGCGGGCCACAACAACACAAACAACAACAATAAACAACAAAGATGGGCAGGCAAGGTGGGGCGGGGAAGGCGTCCAATGTTGTCGTATTCGTCCTCGTTGCTGACGACGACAGGAAATTATGCAAACTTTTGCAAGCAGCGATACCAACAACAACAACTTCACTTAAATGCACTTTGCCTTTTGTTACAGCAACAACAACAACAACTATAACAACAACAACGACAGCGCCTTGTTGTACAGCTGTACAGCTGTGGAGTTGTTTTTGTTTACTCGCACGGCAAGTGAAATCCCGCATTTGAAACGTGAACATTTGACGCAGGCAGCGAGTGTGGCAGCCTCTGGCCGTTCGAGCCAAAGGACATGCCTCAATGCCTTTAATTTACGTGCAAAATTGATCAGGTCAATAAAGTCCAGGACAGCACCGGAAACGGAAAATAAATAAGCTCTGTCCATCTTGCATCTTTTTCGACCTTCACTGCAGTTATGTATTTAAATATCTTGGAATACGTGCACATTCGAGGGATTCTCGCAACATAACTTTGTCTTTCGAACAAACAAACGACCCGAATTGCTTAAAACTTGCAGTCCTCGTATTTCACTCCTTCAATCGAAGGATACACACGTATATATACACGCGCAAAAAAGAAGGTCATATGGGGTTTCTAATAGACTTCCTCATTTGCTTTCCTTAACTATAGTATTCATAAGGACAGACAAGGCTCTATCCTTCATGGAAAAAGAAGGCCATATGGGGTTTCTAATTCCATAGGTTATATACCCCTTTACTATTTGGTTACGGGTTATTAAGAGAATGGTTCCCAAATTGCAGTTCTTCATAAAAATGCACGACAATGTTCGAACTCTCTAATTGTGATTTACAACCGTGAATGGTACTTTTCAAAAATAACATAATATTGAAACTATCCCTAACAATATTATTATTGGTACCATTCCCTAGATAGATAAAGATAAATAAGGCCATTTAAATGTTTGTTGCGATTGAAAATGATGGTTTTTCGATGGCCAATGAAAATTCACTGATAAAAAAAAACACGGAAATTTCAATATTTACACGTAGATTTAAATATTTTTACCATCGATTTTGCACCATCGTGTGTTTTAGTAAGTATGAAGTGTGCACACTTAAATTTTTAATTTTAATATTAAATTATTAAATTTAAAGTGTGACGATATTAAATCACAAGTGATGATGTGAAGACATGGGTTTGATTCACGCCAAAGGTTTATTTTTTATAATTATATTTATAATAATAATATAATATTTTTTACACTACTCTACTGATTTTGTAACTCTTTTCAATATTGACATTTCCATGATGCATATTTCATTTCTATGTATATATACAACATTTTTTTGTATAGAACCATTTTTAGCAGAAAGTAATTCTAAAATTCCTTTGTTATTATGAATTAATTTTCTTGATGTTAATTTTATGCCTTTTAGTACACGGATATAGTTTGAATCAATATTAATATTGAAAGCGAATCTGCTGCAATATGTATTTATACCACACAACCGCCGAAAACCGAGTTGAGAATTCTAGTCAATTGAAATTTAATATATTTCTAGTATATTTAAATCGACTACAAAAAACTTCAAATTAAAGTTGAGAAAAATATTATAATTTACTATGGAATATAATAAATTTAACTATTTGTTTTTGAAGTGTGTGGATATTAATATTTAATATGGTTCAACGTTAAATTGAATATGACACACTCTAATAATGAAGTTTTACACTTTAAAGATGCCACTATTTGTCATATGTATATCCTGCACTTGAAGGCTACGACTGGATTTCGGAAAGGGAAAGTTGTTTGTCGTTTGAATTGTTGCCAATCAAATAATCGTTAAAGACTAAAGGTTAAAACATAGTTACAATAGCCAATTTATTTATTTTTATTCCAAATTCTACATTACATTTTGCGATTTAGATTTACTGGAAAAATTGATCTAGGCGGCACCACATTATACAATGCTAGAGCCGTGCCGACTCGACTCTGCAGACTTGTTCTTAAACTGCCTCAGCTCTTAAAGCTCACACTGTCTGTCAGAGAGACACTCGTCATCCTAATCAAGAATATATATATTTATGGGTACTTTTAATATATATGTTTATTAAGGAGCAAGTAGTTGCGGATTTGTTTTAAATTCCCACTAAGCTGAACACTTTCCCCACTTGATAATAGAAATAGAACTAATTTATTGGGAATTGCTTCTAAATTGTTTTGGTTTTTTGTTATTGTTGCTTGATCTAAGATGTGTCCTAAAAGAACAATTAGTAAATCAGTTCATGAGCCTTGAAGACAAAATAATTTGTATAATTTAACATTTTTCTAATTTCGAAGATAAAAGTTAAGTTATTTGGAAATTATTATTAGTTGACACGGAATGGAAGGTCCAGCGGGTGAGGTGGAGTCTGGGAAAGTAATTCAGTGGGAATTTAGAATCGTTGGGAATCGAGAATTGATTCCAGGAGAGAATTGCACTCTTGCATCGGCCACAAAACAATGGACAAACTTTCAATATTTAATCCAGAGCTAGCCAGCAGCATGTGATCCAATATCACATTCAATGGAATTGAATGGTGGAATTGTTCATGTGCACGGACAAAGGCTTCGTAAATGCTGTCAAATTCTACAATAAAGAAGACAAATCGAATGGAAATATTGCATAAAATCATTTCACAATGCGAGTACAAAACGCCAGTCAATTGCCAATTGAAAATTGGCCGCCACATCATATGCACATATGTACATATACGAGTAGTGTGCATGGAGAGGGGGAATGATTTGGTGGCAGAGTCACCACCCCCTGGCGTTCCCATTGTACCTAAATGCAATAGGTACACACTGTTCCATTTATTTTTTGCAAGTCCAAGCGACCAAACAATGGTCTACACTGCTCAAGCGGGGGTGTGGGTCTCGGGTCGTGCGATTTTTACAATATGCCAATATGTTTTAACATTTATTTCAATAAATATACTTGGTTTTTTATTTTTATGGTTTTTTTTTGGTGTGTGTGCCGTGTGGCGGCATTTTTAATATTTAATGTAAAAAGGAAGATGCAGAATGGGGGGTGGTCAGGTCAGGAGGAAGTTGTGCTGAGACGCGTGCATATGTGCGCCATCTCATTATTAATGCATGGACGTAGGCCCGCATCGAAAAGGTTGACCAACATGAAGGCGCAGGCGACGGAGTGCAGCGACAACAATGGAAAATCGTATACAGGATTCAGAATAAGGAGCACACACTTTAAAACTCTCCAGAGTGACATTTCGAGAATTGGCCAAATACCATAAATTTCATAAGCACGGGCCAGGCCCTTTGCCAGAGATCTGTTGACGGCACCCAAAGGGTAGTTGTTGCCGCTTCGCAAAAATGTGTGCGGTTTCTATAGAATATGTACGACACTAAAGGGGTTGCGAATGTGAATTTTATTTCATTGCCGACATGTAAATGATGCCTATTTGTTGTTACTCCTACTTCTGCCCGCTGCCACAACGCTTGTTTGTGTTCCATAATAATAAAATTTAAAGTGCCATTTTGGCTGCTTATATTGGTCAAAGATTAAAAAGGGATTGTGCCCGATTGCCGCGTGTAAATTATTGCTCCTTATGCGCAAATTTGTGTGTCAATGGGGGGGCTGGGTTTCCTTAAGAATCAGGCACCATAAAAAATCCGCTTCTTGTGTAAACTGTGGGGTGTGCGAACTCGGAAATAAAGTAAAAACGGAAAGTTGGAAAAGGGTAAAGGGTAAAGGATCTCAGAAAATATAACAGGTAGAATCAGGTATCCAGATTCTCTTAGGCCAGAGAATAGCAAATTTGTGTTTTCCCATTCTTGATGCATAATTATTAATTTCATTATAAACTGGGGTTTAATAAATGTCAATACCTTTGGAATATGTCCTGCTAGGAATCTTAGAGGTATTCATTTGAAGTGTACTTTCCACAACATATTGTCTTAACTAAACTTACTTTGCTGATATTCATGGTGAGTTCAGCTGTTTGTATAAATTGGATGGCATTACCAATAGCTGATATGAACAAAAAGATCTATCTGGTTCAGAGTCGTTTTCAAATATTTTCGACATTGATATATTAAGCAGTATACTTGTAGGTCAGTATTAGAGAAAATTAAACTATGAATACTAATCAACTCGAAAGTTATGTTGTTTTCAAATTTGCAAGGGTGATGCTCATTATCTGGTCCGTGTACAGGGCATTTGTCTGTTTTATTATCAGCGATTTCAGATTCCAATTTGAAACTATCCTATATCATCAGCTATCCGTCTGTATGAAAGCAAGAATCTCGAAAAGTATAAGAGCTAGAGCAGCAAAATTTGGTATGCATATTCCCTAAGCCAGCCTATTCCAGCCCTAAGTTATAAGTGAGACAATTTAAAGTTTTTTCCTGGTGTCAGCAATTATGGTTGGTGATTTGGTAGAGTAGAAGTACACTTTGGGTCTTTTACAAACTATCCAAAGAAAAAAGTGAGAAAAATGTAAATACGCTTCGATAATACTGCGCATTCAATTTTCAATTGTGCTATCAAAAAAGGGTTTATTATCATCGTCATTATCCATGAACTATGCATGTCTGTCCGACTACTACACCTCATATTTAAATGATCACCCATGCATGTACATTTGTATGTATACGTATATGTGTCTGCAAGTGTACACTGCATTGAAAATTCACTCACCTGTGATTGCATTGCTGGCATGCGAAGCACTCCAAGTGATAGACATTAGTGCGGGCACGCATGACCATCTCGAAGGCCGGAATGACTTTGCTGCAGGCGGCGCAGTAGCCCGTGTTGCCAAACAATCTGCAAAGGTGGCGTGAGAAAATGGCATTAGCAACAACTGGGATAAGCAGATATACACGTAGACAGATACAGGCAGATTGCAGCATCATCATTGCAATCAACAAACACCATCGACCAATTGAACCATCAAACATCCTTCCTTCTGCAGTACGGATGCCAGTGGAGGAGCTTCGCTATAACGAACTACTCCAAACAAATTTGATTTTATCGATTTTCTTTTTATGACTAACTATTTTGTAAACTAAACCGAAGCTATAAAAACATACTTGTGCGGTCTCTCCAAATGTTTCCCTTACGACTTTTATAATTAAACTTTTACAATATTTAGGGGGAAAAAACGTCTCTGACATGTGGATAGGTTGCTTTTAATTAATTTAAAGTCACGGGTTACCTTACATAAAAATGTGAAAACAATTCCCCATTACCATTTGTTTTTATGACCTATACAAATTTTAAAGGACTACATGAAGTTAATTACGAATGGCTAGAACTACCTAATCCCTAGCTATTTGGTACGATTTTCCAATACTTTGTGGAAACTTTTCTTGTACTATACACACATTTCTATTCGTACTGCTGCACTGCACTGCTCGGTGGCGAGTCTCCTGCATTGATTATGCCTGAGTACGACTGTGGTATTCCACTATATCTTACGAGCATATGTGGGTCTACATAACCCATACGCACCTCAAATAGTCACGCTTGCAAAGCATCAAATTGCCCTTCGTGTAAAGAGTGGAGCCCACCTCGCCGAGCCGGCAATCACAGCAGCCGCACTTCAGGCAGTCCTCGTGCCAGAGCATGTCGAGGGCGCGCAGTAAATAGCGATCCTGTATGTGCTTGCCGCAACCGGCGCATAGTTGGCTTCCATTGTTGTTGTTATTGTTGTTGTTGGCTGCCGCAGCAATGCTGCTGCTATTGTTGTTGTTGTTGCTATTGCTATGTCCATTGTTGTTATTGTTGTTGTTCATATTTGCGGTCTGTTGCTGCTGCTGCTGGCCGGCTTGCTGCTGCTGTTGTTGTTGCTGTTGATTCGATAGCCCGACAAGTCCGGGTTCAGTTTTAGTTATATCCATAGTCATCATCTGCAAGAGAGATAGAGATATGGGGAACTGTGAGTGATGGTGATGCAATGAGGGAGTTGCTGATTTCTGTTTTTTTTTTATATACATATGTACATTTAAAGGCAAGATATTGGGACGGCTAATTAGGTTCCAGTATCGGGAATAGGGCGACAATTGTTCGGCCCGTTTGGATGAGCGTGCTGTGCAAACGTGTTCGCAGCACCGAGCTCGATCGCCGTAGTCGTCATCGTCGTTGTTGTTCTGGTCAAAGCGTGTGAACATTCCGTAGTCGAAGCGTTTTCCTTTGCGCTCAGGAAAATGCAGTGCATCTCTCTGATAGTCCGGAGGAAATATTGGATTAGGCGGTGTGCGCGGAGGCTGTGGAAAGTACTCCTGCCGGCCGCTTTGAAGCGCTACGATGTTTCCAGCAGCTCGAACCAGCTGCGCATTCGGAACAGCCATAATGGAAGTATTTTCGACCAAAATAAATTGCCACGCGTGTTCAATGGCGCGTTTTTTTTTTTTGTTGCAACTACACGAAAATGTGCATCTATTGTGAATGTTTATAACGGCATTTCTCAGCTGTTCTATGCAATTGCAAACAGAGTTGCAAAATGTTAGGACAACGAACTATGGGTAACACTAGCGCCTTTGAATTTAACCGTTACCAAAGTATAACTACATAACAATTAATACATTTATAGAAAGTAACAAAAATATGATTTATTCTTTCAACTTTGTATTTACAAATATTGTAGCATACTTTTAGCGCTGCCCACAAATTCGTGAGACTGCGAAAAAAGTATTACAGTAATTACATTTAACAAAAGCATATAAGCATTTTAGCAGCTTTGTAAATGGTTTATTTTCTAAGGAACGCAATGCAGTATCAGTATTTCTTCCCTTGTAAAATGTGTTCAACTTCAGGTTGTATACAAAATATTACGCTTATGCTAGCTGTGCATTATAGGCACTTTAATTTACACTCCAAATCAAAATTAAAATATTTTCCCATTACAAAGATATGATTTATAATATTGAAAATTGTTTGACAAAATTACATTTCCACGAACTATAATAAAATTTGCTAATCAGTTTAACCATAAACATCCAAATACTGTTAAAACTCGAAGAGAGAGAATGGGAAAATTCACAAATAGAAATCGACTTCTTATGACTGTAGAGACATAAATAAAGTCTCAGAGAATCTTTGAAATATGTATTTAGAAGAATGCCATTATATCATTGCTAACTATACCACTGTCTGTATTTTGCTATAAAGTATTGCCATTTAGGTTTAAAAACTTCTATAGGGACCATTATACAAGTAGTGGACAAACCATTAATTCTTCAGAGACAAAGTTTAGATTACAAATACAAATTGTAAGATTAAAGTGATATTTTTCATAGAGTGCAGCAAAAACACTGTAGTGTTTATAGAACAAAATTAAATAAACAAATTGATTAATAATATAAAATAATACACCGAGAGCTTGGGCTCGTCCGGGAGTTGAACCCGGGACCTCTCGCACCCGAAGCGAGAATCATACCCCTAGACCAACGAGCCGCTGACGCCAGCACTTGCCAAAACACAAGTTCACTCTCTGCCGTACATAGTTGTGTGTGTGTATGTGTGTCGCCTGCGCTTGCGCCACTTGCTTTTCTGCCTTGTAAGCTACGTTCGTCTGCGCACACAGCCTTCGCAATCTATTTTTAGCAACCCAGTCAGTCAGCAGTCAGCAGTCAGCAGCGACGGTGACAGCGACAGCGACGCCGCTGTCGACATCGTTCTTGGCAACACTAGTGCCGGCCGGCGCCTTTGATGGTTCTTTCTACATGACTCGCGATTCGCTCATTACTGTAGTTGTTAAATTCGACTGCTTATCAGTGGACGTTGCGCATTTTTTATGAAATATTTATGAATATAAGCATTTGGATAATGCAGAGCTACAAATTGGAGGCTGCCACGCCCATGTGTGGGCGATAGGCTTGGTAACTAGGGTTGCGACTTCTAGTGCGCTTAATTGCCTCTTTAGCTCAGTGGTAGAGCACTGGTCTCGTAAACCAGGGGTCGTGAGTTCAAACCTCACAGGAGGCATTTTTTCTACTGCAAGACTTTTGAAAAACGTCAACTACTTTATAGCTTACTTAAGTTTTTTTTAAGCACCAACAGCTTGCATTTTATACTATGTATATAAGCAGTTGGTGATGCTAAGTTTCGCTTTTCTGGCAGTCTAAGTATTTTAAATGAATTGCATGGAACATATTCCATAATTGGGCGTAGGCGGTCTGTGATGTGATATGAAAGCACATAACACTGATGTTTCTGGGGCAAAATTTTATGTGCTTTACACAATTTACCAAAAGGCAAATATCCAATGACAATTTGGCAGCAAACAAAGGAGAAAGTGGTGGAGCGGGATGAGCAGAATGGCAGGGCAGGGCAGGCAGGGCACCAAAGACCTCCACTCTCCCCAAAAAATAAAACCCAAAAATTATGCAACACTACTCGCACCAAGCCCATATCGTATTATAGTCGAACTACTTTACAGCGAATTGCGGTATTGAGGCTGTTTAGTGAGAGTACTTTACTTCCTTGGGTTAAAGCTTAGTGCGTTTAGAGTGGGTCTTAATTTCGCTCCTCATTTTGCCAGACATTTAGTTGATTTCTGAAATACTTAGTTCCGGTCAAGTGTCGCCTCCCTTTTAAGCCTTGAATGGCGAATTAACAATTTAATACATCACTTAACTACAGAATACTTGTAATACTATAATTCCAGAAATGAAGTCTGTAATGAAAACAAAACTTAATTTCTTTAAAATAAAAATAACATTTTAATTTAAAAATTTTGAAGGCAAAGATTTCAATCGACATCAAGCATTAAAGATGTGGCTTTGTCCGGCAAATTTTCAGTTAAAGAAAGAATATTTGCGCTTTATTTTTTAAGTTTTCTGACTGTCTAACAGAACACATTTACAGGTTTACAGGACAGGTTTACGTGGAAATTACCGTAGTAGCTCGAAAGATCTACATATACTTAACTATTTTTTTTAATTGTTGAAATATTTTGACATAAAACTCTGTAAAAATAATGTTTCTCTATTTATGCAATTTTTTTACGTAGCAATTGAAGGAAAAGAAATGAGAACAGAAACTTTGTTCCTGAGCTGTGCCCCAAAAATTGTGATTGTTCGTGGAAATGTGTTGTAAAGAGAGACGTCTGTAGGCTGCCACATGTATGTACACACGATATACACGAGTATGTATGTATGTGGGTGTGTGAAAGTTTATTGTCCATTGCATTGGCAATGGCTTGCATTAAGCCGCCGTTGCCGTCGTGGCCAACCGCCGACCATCGTCCATTTGGCCATATTGCCATTTTGCGATGTTGCGCCAACTGTGATCCCGACATCTGTGGCATGCATTTTCCGTTGCAAGAGTATGTGTGGGTGGGGCCGTGCAGCTGCTAAAAATGACTTTAATTAGACCCTGCCAAAAATGCTGGGCATAGCCCCGAGCGACCAGCAAACATCGATGTTTGACGATGGCCCGGCCAACTCATAAAAATTCAATCAAATCAATTTATGTAAATTTAACGCGACGGAAATCGTTCGTTTGGCTCCCCACCAAACCAAACCAAACAAAAACGACAATAGGGACAACAGCAGGAACAACAACAATAGCGCATATTGGAATCGCGGTCCATCAAAACTCAATTTGGCGGCAGCTCTGCAGCTGGAGGCCCCACCAGAAGGAGCCTCGGATCGGGATCGGACAACTGCACTGCATTTAGTTTAGACAAATGAATTGAAATCTAAACGCCCCGGCGACTACCGTTTTTAGTGCAGTTTTCATACTACATTTGGTTTGAATGCATTGTTGCCGGAGAGGAGTTACGAGCGCCGGGCGAAGGGAGCCGGGAGCCGGGAGCTGGGGGCCGGATGGTCCTTCATTGAGCATTCATAGTTTTTTGATGTTGCCAATGAATTTATGCATTTCATTTCGCAAAGTTGTTTTCAATTTGCATTGAAAATGTGCAGAAAAAAGCAACTAATTTCTTTGCATGTTGCGACTGTTTCAGAGCTATCTTAAAATTATAGAAGAGATGGGGCAGGCCTTACAAATACATAGTACTTGTTTTATATAGAATTGTTAATATCATTAAATGGAAGTTTGTCATTAATTATTTGTGCATTAGTAAGTGTTGCTTTTTTAACATTGTTAGAGCGGAAAGTTTAAGGTTATATTCAAATTCGTAAGGGTCCTAATAAAGGTGGTTTAATAGGAGTTCCTCAACCTTTTTGTGATGCAATTAAATTATTTACAAAGGAACATCGGACAATTTATAATAGTAAGTTATCATAATATTTGCCAGAAATAGTTCTCCTATTCGTAAACATACAGTTATTAGGAAAGATAGTGTGGCACGGTTTAATATCTTTCACAAAATCTAGCCAAGCGTACCAAAACCTAAAGTTAAAATAAGTAACTAATAAAGTAAATCTCGCTGCGAAAACTTATATTGAGTTGAAAGAAAGAAGATGGGGCTGCACAGAAAAGTTGTTGTATAAAAAAAAAAGTTGGCGCTATACATAAAACACAGTAAAGTTTAAAACATAGTTTAAGAACTCGAGCTTCGTTTTGGAACTTGTGCGATTGAATAAAACTAATCGCTATTTACTCGTAGCAATGTGAATTGGAACTAAAACTATTCATTTATTCGTATTGGTATTAGTATATCGATTATAGAATTTTTGCGAGATTTTATTGCTAATGAATTGCGGTTAGGGAAATTGTTTACATTTGCCACTAAACATTGTTTACTAAAAATATAGAACGGATGTTATATATACAAGTATGTATATTGTCGATGTTGTTATCAAGGCTGTACGGAGCTTTTTCTACAGAAAAGCTTCAATAAAAACTTCAGTTAGATAGCGATAGATATCAGATATTGTTTAAAAGAACTTTTTTATACCCAAAAAGTGAGATAAGTTCAACCTTGATTTGAAGTAATCAGTCGGCCACACGCCATTTTGTTTTTTCATCTTCCTATTTTAAGACGTATGCCTTGTGTACAATATATATAATACAATATCATAACATATGAAAAATTTGTATTCACTTCAATTTTTAATAAGGTAATAATGCGGTAATATTGGTAGTAGAAACTAGTCTGTAAATTGTAAATCGTTTTTTATAAAAAAGAAAAAATCAAATTTTTGCAGCTTTGTTTCATTTTCCTTCGAGGAATTTGTTCATCTGTTCGTAAAATTGTTAAATGTGGGATCTATTTTTTCTGTTGTTGTTTCCCTCTTTTGCAGATTACATACAAGTACATAGCACTGTTTTAGGAAAAACACTCGTAAAGATGTAATAGTTCGGTTTTGAGCTGCTTATTGGAGGGGCATTGCATACTTGTAGAAATTTGAGAGGGTCGCTAAAGAGACTGAACAGAAGAATCACTGAGTCTTCCAAGTATATGCCTTGCTTACTGCTCGGAAA